AATTCTACAGGCAATATCTTGAATGACACAGGAAGAATCAAAAGAAGATGGACCAAAGACAGAGTCCCTTTACCAAAAAGACTTGGTCAATACAGAACCATTTCAGGAAGTATCATATGACCAAGAACCAAGAGTTGTGAAGGAAGAACTCCAACTTCCACTGAAGGCATTGGCAAAAATAAGGCCCCAGGAATTGATGAGCCACCAGTTGGGGTTTCAGGAAACAGATGCGTCTTTGGAAGTGCTCACCAGTCTTGTCAACAAATATGGAAGACAGCTGTCTGGCCAGCTGATTTGAAGAGATCCATATGTGTTCCCCTTTTCCAAAAAAAGGTGATCCAACAAGATGTAGAGATTATCAGACAATAGCACTAATATCATATGCAAGTAAAATCTTGCTAAAGAGTGTTGTGCTTGCTGTTATGTGCTGTCAAGTCACTTGTAACTCATAGTAACCCTATGCACAACAGCTCTAAATCCTGCTCTATCCTGTGCCAACTTCACTGTCTCTGACACACCTACTCCCATTACTGTCATCGAAGGTCTTCCTCTCTTGTGCTGTCCCTCCACCCTCCCAAACATGATTTCACTCCCCAAGGACTGGTTCCTCTTTGTAATATGCCCAAAGTATGTCAGACAGAGCTTCAGAATTCTTGTCTCCAAGGAGCAGCCTGGTTTCACCCTCTCCCGGATGAACCTGTTTGTTCTCCTAGCAGTCCATGGTATATTCAGTACTCTTCTCCAGCACCACAGCGCAAAGGCATAAATTCTCTTTCTATTATCTCTTGTCATTGTCCAACTCTCTGATGCATAGCATGCAATTCTGAAGACTATGGCCTGGGGCAGGCTCACCTTAGTCTCCAGCCTGACATTGTTGCTCTTCAGCACTCTGGAGAGGTTCATAACAGCTGACTTTCCCAATACAATTCGTCTCTTGATTCCTGACTGCTGGTGCTAAGAGTGTTGATGGTGGAGCCAAGCACACTAATGCTGTTAACAATCTCAATCTCTTCACCATCCATCCTGATGCTGCCAATTGGCCCAGTGGAGAGAACTTTGGTTTTTTTTTTAATGTTGAGCTTAAATCCATATTGAAGGCTGCAGTCCTTGACGACCTACAGCAAGTGCTTCAAGTCCTCCTCAGTTTCGGCAAGCAGGGTTGTGTCATCTGCATAATGCAGGTTGTTGATGATTATTCCACCAATCCTGATAACACATTCCTCCTCGTACAGCCAAGTGTCCCAGATGATTTGTTCTGCATACAGATTGAAAAGGTATGGAGACAGAATACATCCCTGGCAGACACCCTTCTGATTTTGAACCATGCGGTGTTTCCTTGCTCTGTCCTGACGACTGCCTCCTGGTCCAAGTATAGGTTTCGCATAAGCACAACCAAATGTTTTGGGATTCCCATTCTTTTCAAAGTCAGCCACAGTTTTTTGTGATCCACACAGTCAAAAGCCTTTGTACAGTCAATGAAACACAGATAGACATTCCTCTGGTACCCCTGCTTTCTGCCAAGATCCATCTTACATTAGCTATAATATCCCTAGTACCACGACCTCTTATAAACCCAGCTTGCACATCTGGCAGTTCTTTGATGATGTGTTGCTCCAGTCCTTTTTTGATAATTATCAGCATAATCTTGCTTGTATGTGATATTAATGATATTGTTTGATAATTTCCATACTCTGTCGGGTTACCTTTCTTTGGAATGGGAACAAATATCAATCTCTTCTAGTCAGGTGGCTGTCCTCCAGATTTCTTGGCACAACTTAGCACATCTAGGGGCAGTGTCAGTTTGTTGAAATATGTCAATTAGTATGCCAACTCCTAGAGCCTTGTTTTTTGCCAATTCTTTCAGATGCCTGGAACAGTACATTGACAAGGAACTGCTAGAAATTCAAACTGGATTAAGAAGAGGCAATAGCACAAAGACTGTCATGGCTGACATCAGATGGATATTGGCTGAGTAGAGAATACCATAAAAATGCTTATTTTATGTAAGCATGCTTTACTGATTATGCAAAGGCATTTGACTGTGTGGACCATAACAAATTATGTCTAACATTCAAAAGAGTAGAGATCTCAGAACACTTAATTATGTTCAGCAATACCTATACGTAGAGAAGCAGTTGTCTGAGCAGAACAAGGGAACCGTGCAAAGTGTAAAATCAGGAAAGGTGTGTATCAGCATTGTATCCTTTCTTAATAGTCAGAAGATCGGGAGATGCAGTAAACTGGGAAAATTTATAGTCAGGGACCTCTCCAAATTATTGAAGAGTAATGATGTCAGTTTGAAGACTAAGGTGCATCTTATTCAGGCCCTGGTCTTTTTCAGTCACTTGCTATGCATCTGAGAACCGGACAGTGTCTAAGAATGACAGAAGAATTGATGCTTTAAATTGTGGTTTTGGAAAAGAGTGTGGAATATCCCTTAGATGCAAAAAGAATAAACAGATATCTTGTAGAAGGTGTAGCCAGAGTGCTCCTGGAAGGCAAAGATGATAAAGTTTCATCTCATATTTTGGGCATGTTGCTAGGAGAGGTTATTCCTTGGAGAGGGACATCATGCTTGGAAATGTTGAGGGTTGGTGAAAGAGGAAGACCTGCAATCTGGTAGGTTGACACAGTGACTGTGGCAATAAGAGTGGGCGTGTCAGAGCTTGTGAGGATGGTACAGGATAGGACAGGTTTCAGATCTGTGGTTCATAGGTCACTATGAGTCATACTTGACATGATGGCACTTAACAACAAGAACACAATTCAATCTGTATGTGGAATAAATAATTTGAGAACCTGGACTATATGAAGAAGAATAATAACGTAACATCCAGACTGGAGGAAGACCCATCAACAACCTTCTGTATACAGAGGACACCAACCTTGCTTACAGAAAGTGAAGAAGACCTGAAGTACTTCCTGCAAAAGATCTAAGACTATGGCCTTCAATATGGATTATGCCCTAACATCAGGAGGGGAAAAAATCCTTACCAGTAGCCATCATGACAGATGAAGGGAAGATTAATGTTGTATTAATAGCATTTTCCTTTGATCCACAATGAACACCCACGGAAGCTCCAGTCAGGAAACTAAAAGACATTTTGCATTGAGAAAATCTGCTATCAATTCTCTCCAAAGACTTAAAGAGCCAAGTTGTCAATTTAAAGACTAAGGTGCACCTGACTCAAGTCGTGGTCTTTTTCCATTTGCTTCCTATACATCTGAAAGCTAAACAGTGAATGAATAAAGACCGAAGAAGAATTGATGTCCTTGCTTTGTGTTGCCAGTGAAGAGTATTGAATATACCATGTACTGCTGAAAGAACAAACAACACATTTGACTTGTAAGAAGTATATCCAGATGTTCCTTAGAGGAGCACTTACTTTGGGTATATTCGCAGGTGGAACTATTCCTTGGAGAGAATCATCCTGGGGAAAATGAAGGGTCAGCGAAAGAGAGGAAACCTTGAGGTTGGATTGACACAGTCACTACCACAAAGGGCTTGAGTATGACAGAGATCATGCAGGGATGGTACAGGACAGGGCGAGGTTAGTATATCGATTACTTGCTTTTCATGTATGAATTGTTTAGAAAATGAAACTTCCTTTAGAACATATTCACTTCCTCAGTATATATCTGTGTTTTCTGTATTAGTACATGAGTCCTGCCTTCAGAATTCTCACACTGAGGGCAGGGAACAGGGAGGTAGACATTAATTGTCTATTCTGAAGAAATTGAAACAAGGGTGTTCCTTGGAGGCAAAGATGGTGAAAATCCGTCTCACATACTTTGGGCGTGTTGTCAAGAGGGGCCAGTCCTTGGAGAAGAACATCATGCAAGGAAAGGTGGAGGGTCAGTGCAAAGGAATAAGTCCTTCAATGAGATGGATTGACAGTGACTGTGGCAAAGGGGTCAGGTGTATTGTAGATGGTGAAGTTGTCTCAAGATAGGGCAAAGGTTCAGAGTCATAGTTATAGGGCAGTTATGAATCATAGTTGAGTCGACAGCATATAACAATATTAAAGATTTGATGGTACCTGGTGGTGCAAACCATTTTGTCAAACATACTCCACTCAGACTCATTGCTGTCAAGCCAGAACCATCTCCCGGTTTCCAGGAGGTTGTAAATCACACAAGAAGGGAGTGCCATTCCTTCTTCTTCAGAGCTGTAGGTGGATTCACACTGCGAGAGGTGCCTCCTTTAGAGTACCAATTCACTACAGACTATGCTGCCAGAGCTCCCTTGAGTTTTAAAATGCTGTTGTTGTTAAGTGCCGTCGAGTCGCAGGTAACTCATAGCAACCCTATGAATGAAAGCTCTGGACACCTTCTGTATAACTTTCATCCTTTTTCCAGGTTCATAGAGTTTCCAGAGGCAAGCTATTGTGGAAGCGGACGTTCCTGCTTCCAGGCTTGTGTTAATCGGGGAGCTCCACCAAACACTGTCCACCATGGGTAACCATTCTCGCATTTGACTCATCAGTGTCACAGTGTTCTGCTTCACAGCAACCAAGAGTTACCTCTGTACAGCAAGTGGACTTACCATGGTTACGCGACCTAGAAGAATGTTTCACCAAAAACAATTAAAGGCAGGCCTGAGGACCACGGAGTAGAGCCACCCACCTTTGACTTGGGAGCATGGCTTTTCGTCTCCTAGGCCAACTGCTCTCTCTTTCTATTTTTGATGAGTTTTAAAATAGCAAAGTTAATGCCACTAAATTCATGGTTAAGGAAAGCCTATGGAGCAATTCTGCTCTGTAAAATACAGGATTACACACTGGAACCAATATAATAGCAATGGGTTGGGTTTGGTTATAAAGATATACTGGGAGTCTGTTCACGGGATAAAAAAAAATTAACACATGCCTGTACAGTATGGTATGAACTTGGAATGTTTCCTTTAAAATGTTACTGACAGGGAAATGAAAAGCAAAGATGTATGGGAACAACCAAATTCCTGTCCGGCATGAAGCTGATAGTGTCTTTTTCTTTCCTAGGCGTTTTTCCTCCCGTCCAGAACCAGACCCTTACTGTCAAGCTAAATATACTTTCTGTCCAACTGGCTCTTCTATCCCCTCTATGAAGGGGGATGATGTCATTGAAGTCTTTCGATTACAGGCCCCAGTGTGGGAATTTAAATATGGAAACCTCCTGGGTCACATGGTAAGGATGCATCTTGATCTAGCAGCTTTGGTTAGTTAAAAGAGTTTTCATTTGGTTATTTAAATTTATGTGAGTGAATAAGCACTGTTAAAATGGCTGATTTTGGATCAGGTATGCCCTCAGACATAATTTGAAATAAGTAGTCAAAATTATTATCATCAGGTTTTGTAGTTCTTATAATATACAAATATAATAGCTTTACTCCATTTTAAGATGCTGGGAAGGAATCTGGGTGGTGCATGGTGGCATCAGTCAGCTGTTAAACTAAAGGTTGGTAGTTCAGCTCAGCCAGCACCTGATGGAAGAAAGCCCTGATGCTTCCATAGATAAGGATTATGGCCAGCAAACCCTTCTGCCTGTTGTCCATGGGGTCTCCGTGAGCCAGAGGCCAACCTGATGGCAGCTGACAACAACAGCAGCAGGGTTCAGCACCTGAACCACACTCCTCAAAATCAGAAAGGAGGGGTTAGGGCAAGGGAGGCAAGTCATGCTTCTTAATTCCCAGACGTTACTGTGCACACTCTTGCTGATTTGGCTCCCCGGGCAATCCAACAAAGAACATAGCCTTTGTTCCTGAGACCGTGGCATGGCGGCTTCTGAGACCTTTTCTAAGCTATAAGACAATTCATCTCCAATCCTCAAGGAGATGGATGAACACAATGACTGTAGCAATGGGCTCAAGTAAACCAGAGAAGGTGAGGACGGCACAGCATAGAGCAAAGTTCAGATCTTTTGTTAACAGGGTCACTGTGAGTCCTACTTGACTTCGTGGCACCTAACAACATAAAGAAATGATGAATATGTCCACAGAGCATATGTCCTTCCTGTCTGAGACGGTCAGCAATGACTAAATCCAGAGTGAACGAGGGCTTGGATGTGGGCTCCCAAGGGTAGCAGCAGGGCAGGTGTTCTACAGGATATACACTTGAGGCATTCTGCACCCCCTGCCCCCCAATCTGTCTGCCAGAATCAGTAGTCTCTTCACTCGTGATTTTATACTTGTGCAATCTTTACACAGAAAATTATGCACGATGCCATCGGGTTCAGGAGCGCTATAACTGGCAAGAACTATACGATGGAGTGGTATGAACTTTTCCAACTTGGAAACTGCACATTTCCCCATCTCCGACCTGAAATGAATGCCCCCTTCTGGTGCAACCAGGGAGCCGCCTGCTTTTTTGAAGGAATTGATGATCTCCACTGGAAAGAAAATGGGACATTGGTTCAAATAGCAACCATATCAGGTAAGTTTCAAAAATGTGGCAGTGTGTGAGGATTGTATCATTATCCAAATGGAAGGGAATAATTTCATGAAGGCACTTCAGTAATGTTTTCTTTTTCTGGAGGTCATTTGTAAACATCTTTCTGAAACCATTAACCTTGGACCCAAACTATTACAGATGCAGTGTTTTACTTGTGATTATCGGAATGCTTTGTTTATTTCCTCATCAATTATCATGGTTAGAAAAAGAGAATAAAATGGTAAAATGATTTGTACAATTAAATTAGAATTTCTAAATAAAAAATTGAATAATATCCATAAAATGCCTGAAAATAATTATTAAACAACTTGTTAACAATGCTTGAAAAAAGGTTTTAGTAATGATAAACTGTTTGTATGTGGAGAAGTGCTAATAGCTATCATGCATACAAGGGAGCACTGCTCACATGTCCCATAGTGAGTTGTGCTACCAACCCAAAGGCTCCTCATCGTTTGTGGTTCAAATACACTCATGGCTCCATGGGGAAGAGTTGACCAGTTTCCTCTCATTGCAACTTATAGCTTTCAAAACCCACTGGACGATTGCTGGGAGTCAGAACCACGACTTGAGATCATTCACTTTGACTTAATTTGAGTCTGGCACAGTTCTGAGTGTTTTAATATGTATAATTTAATATCACAACAGCTCTTTAAGATACTTTTATTTCCTCCATTTTATAGATGTGAAAACTGCCAAGTTTCCCCACTGTTGTCAATTCATTTGCAACTAATAGTGACCCTTGGGACAGAGTAGCACCGCCCCAGAGGTTTTCTGAATCTGGAAATTTCTACAGAGGCATAATGCCATAGCATTCTCCATTTAAGCAGGCTGGTGGTTTTGAATTTCCAGCTTTTCAGTTAGCAGCTAACTGTTTGATCACTGTGCTACCAGGATTCCTTTGATCTAAATAGGCTATGAATACAGGCAATTTACTCTGTAGTATAGTCTCTTTACTTTGCTGCATCACCTCCAAAACCAAGTCTATTTGAAGCCCCTTGAGTAATTTAAAAATTTTAGTTTCTGAGATTTTCAGTTTGCTCCATAGTTGGAAAGAATTTTCCATGTTTGTTGCACTGCTGGCTAGTGAAGAAAGGGACCCGGCGAGGACTTTTTAACAGTAACTTGTGTGACCTTGGGCAAATCTTAAATTTTCCTTGTTGTTTTTGTTGTTGTTATGTGCCATCGAGTCGCTTGTGACGCATAGTGACCCTATGTACAAGAGCTCTAAACACCATCCTATCCTATGCCAACCTCGCCGTCTCAAACACACTCATTCCCACCACTCCACTCACAGAATCGATCCATCTCATCCAAGGGTCTTCCTCTCCTGCGCCGTCCCTCCACTCTGCCAAACATGATATCCCTCTCCAAGGACCAGTCCCTCCTTGCAGCATGCCCAAAGTATGTCAGACAAAGCTTCAGAATCCTTGACTCCAGGGAACATTCTGGCTTCACCCTCTCCAGGACAAACCTGTTTGTTCTCAGAGCAGTCCATGGTATATTCAACACTCACTCTTCTCCAGCACCACAACTCAAAGGCATAAATTCTCTTTCTATCATCCCTATTCACTGTCCAACTCTCCGATGCATTGCACGTAATTGCAAAGACTATAGCCTGGATCAGGCGCACCTTAGTCTCCAGCCTAACGTTATTGCACTTCAGTATTCTTGAGAGGTCCCTCACAGCTGGCTTTCACAATGTAATTCATCTCCTGATTTCCTGGCTGCTGTTACCAAGAGTGTTGACTGTGCCACCAAGCAAACTAAAACTGTTAACTATCTCAATCTCTTCACCATCCATACTGATGCTGCCAATTGGCCGAGTGGTGAGAATCTTTGTTTTCTTGATGTTATTAGCCTAATCATCTTATTTGTAGACTCAGGATGCCATTATTGCATTTTAGAGGTCAGCAACTCTGCCTTACAAGGGGCTGTTCTCAAAAAGTAGAACCATCCAGAAATGAAATGACAGTTTTGGGTAAGAGTTACTACTCATGAAGTCACAAGAGCAAAGATGAGCAGTTCTCAGTCTTTGCAGAATCATCTAGAGTCTGGTAATCCACAGTATTCTAGGGGAGATGAGACACAGACAGTCCCAGGATTATAAACAAGTTCTGGTTCTTTCTGTCTTTGACTAATTTTGTAAGTAAGTCAGAGCAGTTGTATTTAGCTCCTATCTAACCAATTAGGTAATTAAAAAAATATATAGTATGTAGTATACTTTTTTATGCATAAAAACACATTAAAGAAGTATTTCCAGATGTATTTAAACCTCTTTAACATAATACAGTAAGTATTACTAAAACTAACATTTTAATGTGTGTCACAAAATTGTGCCTCCTTGTTCTTACAGACTATTTATTGTGTGTATGTACTTCTGATTTTCACTGTCATAGGCAGTATAGAGTTTGGGTTTTATGTAAATTGAGTGTGTATAAACTGAGGACTCCCTGTACCCTTCTTCATTTTACAAATAAGAATTGAGAGCCAGCCTGGGAAATGATTTCACCATTTCTTAAAGTCATAGAGCCATATGTAGCAGAACCAGGATTAAAACTAAGGTCTTTTAAATGTAATTGTGAGATTGTTTTAACAGAATACATCATGTTATTTATCTTTCCTCTTCTGTTTTTAATATACCATCTCTAGGACTCCTGATAGTGTAGTGTGTTTCATGTTGAATTGCTGATAAAAAGGTCAGTAGCAGCTTCTCAGGAGAAAGACTGGCACTCTGTTCCTATAAAGATCTATAGCCTGGATACCTAAGTGAAAGGTTGCTCTGAGACAGACTCATTCAAGGAAATTTATGCCTTTGAGTTGTGGTGGTGCTGCAGAAGAGTCTTGAACATACACTGGACCGCCAAGAGAACAAATGGGTTTGTCTTGGAGAGGGTGAAACCAAGTTTCTCCTTGGAGGCTAGGATTTTGAGGTTCCATTTCACATACTTTGGGCATGAGGCCAGGAGGGACTGGTCTGTGGAGAAGGACATCATGCTTGGAAGAGTGGAGGGACAGCAAAGGAGAAGAAGACCCCAGAAGAGATGGATTGATACAGTGACTGGGGCAATGTAGGTAGGTGTGTTGGAGTCAGTGAAATTGGCTCAAGACAGCACATAGGGTCGCTGAGTCTCAGGTGACTCCATGATACATAACAGTAACAACAATAAAGTGTGGTTTGATGCACTAAATTGTCCCTGTATTTTAAAAGCCCTCTCTTAACAATGTTCATCTTGCCTGGTTCATGTCTCTTATTCCATTTCACCTCACTCATAATATGAAAATTCTCTTTTGTGGTGTGAATCTGTGTTCAGTGATCACCATTTCCTGTGTGATGGTTTGTAATAGGGCAGTGTTTGAATCTTTTAAGTCACCATCTGCTGATTAATCTTGCTCATAAACCTTTCTTCATGTTACAAAATAGTGTTTTGAAGTATTCAAATATCTCTTCAATACAGCAGTGCCTTTTCAAAGATGAAGAACAGTAAATACGATATCCCTAATTCTAGGAAAACAGAATTTAAGTGATTTTCTAATTGAAAAAGGCAGCCATTTTATTCATTTTATAGGATTCCATGTATTGATTTTATGACATTGAGTTGGAGTAACTAAAAAAATCTTGAGCATAGTGAAAGCATCAAACGTTAGAACCTACATCGGTTGTTGTTGTTATGTGCCATCGATTTAGCTGTGTTTCATATGAACAACAGATCAGAACCTTACCCTATCTGGTGCCATCCACACAATTTCCCTTATGCTCTGATTCTTCTGGTCACTATGTCAACCCGTCTTTTTTTTTTTTCAATCCATTTTTTGTTGAGAATTTTCCTCCCTTTGACCCTTCACCTTACCTAGAATAATATTTCTTTCCTACAGACAGACCTCTCCTGATAACATGCCCAAAGGAGCTCTGTTACATATGATAAATGCCTACATGGAAGTTACAATCCTGCAGAGAACAGTGTTTGATAAACACCAGGAAAGTTTCTTCTGGTCTAGTGCTGGGTAGAAGGTGAGGAGATTGAGATTATTCACAGCTTTAGTCTGCTTGGCTCCACAATCAACACTCTTGGCACCAGCAGCCAGGAAATTAAAAGATGTATCGTGATGGGAAAGTCTGCTGTTAGGGACCTCTCTAAACTACTGAAGAGCAACAGACTAGACTAGGTGCGTCTGGTACAGGCCTTGGTCTTTGCAATCACTTGTTATGCATCAGAGAGTTGGACAATGAGTAGGGAGGATAGAAGAAGAATTGATGCCTTTGAGCTGTGGTGCTGGAGAAGAGTATTGAGGGTACCATGGACTGCCAGGAAAACAAACAGATTCATCCTGGAAAGGGTTAAACCGGGCTGCTCCTTGGAGGCAAGGATTCCGAGGCTTCGTCTGACATACTTTGGTCATGTTGTAAGGAGAGACAGGTCCTTGGAGAAGGACATCATGCTTGGGAGGGTGGAGTGCAGGTGCAGGAGGGAAAGGCCCTCTAGGAGGTAATCAGGATGGGTGTGTCGGAGATGGTGAGACTGGCACAGGACAGAACAGAGTTTCTGGCTGTTGTACATAGGGTTGCTATGAGTTGCAAATGACTTGACGGCACATAACAACAACAACAACAACAGTGCTGGGTGGAAGGAGGTTAGAATTAGGCATCCAGAATCTGAATTTGGCTAAAAACATTTCCAGTGTAGTTGATATTTTTTGAGAATTTATGTGATATATAAGGATGTTGTCAGAGGTATTCCAGCAACTGCAAACATAAAGAGAAAGGGTACAAATAGAGGTGGATAGGTTATGGTGTTTCTCCTTGTATAGACTGTAGACTACCCGGTGCCTGATCCTCCGGCAGCCAGTCAGACGTACACGTACCTGTGTGCGTGCATCCGTATCATTGCTGCTGAAAAGCTCCACATTCTGCAGTTTGTCTTAATCTTTGACCCATTCACTTTTCCTCTTTTATAATTTTTTCCTTTCTTGCTTGAATTTCTTAC